AACTCATCAGATCGATACAAAGCAGAAAAACATCAAACATAATAACAGACCCGAAGTGGCAGGGTATTTATCCATCCCTCATCCCTAACAATAAAAAGAACACTAAGGTATAGATCTCAGAGTACTCCCAGATACTGACAGCTAGTTCAAAACCAATAGCAACTAATAAAAATAAATGGGGAATGTGTCCATGGGACACAGATGATGACCCCGCTTGCATATAATGTTATAAAGGGACATAACTCAAGAACTGTAAAAGTGATCCTACCCAAATATGTACTTGATCTGTGTTTTAAGGTAATAAGCATTGTGTATAAGTTTAATAACATTTGGATGAGGCAAACTTAAGTTACAGAATGGAAACAAATCCAGCAATTTTTCCATTTGTAAAGGGGCAAAACTCCAGAACGGTATAAGTGACACAACCAAAATTCAAACTTGATCTGTGTTTTGTGGTAATTAGCATTGTGCATAAGTTGCATAACATTTGGTTGAGGCAAACTAAAGTTAGAGAACAAATCTATAAAACTTATCTGTAAGTGTAATCAAACTTTATATGTATAATTAACCATTTCTGTTCAAAGGGAAATAACTCAATCACATAATAAGTAACACTTTTGACTATTGGAAAGGGGAATAACTCAACAACGAAAAAAGCTAAGATCGTGAAAATTGAACTTGAGCTTCATTTAGTCACAGGAAACAACATATCTAAATCTGAAAAAATTTCATCAAAGCGTTTTCATGTTAATAAATGGACACTGTTTGGAAGATGCCCGCCCTCCTGCCATCCCACCCACTCGCCCACCTGCCCGTCCGCCCACCCGCCGTACATTCCCAAATCAATAACCAATTTTTCCTTCGAAAATCTGGTTAAAAACTGCAAAATTTCCTTAAAATTACCAATTCAGGGGCAGCAACCAAACAATGGGTTGTCTGATACGTCTGAAAATTTAAGGGCTGATAGATCTTGACCCAATGAACATTTTTACTTCTTCTCAGATTTGCCCTCAATACTTTAGTTTCAGAGATATAATCCAAAAACTGCATTTTACCCCCATATTCTATTTTTAGCCATGGCAGCCATCTTGGTTGATGGGCGAGGTCATCATTTACATTTTTATAACTAAATACCCTAAGTATGATTTCGGCCAAGTTTGGTTTAATTTGGCGAAGTAGTTTTAGAGAAGTTTTTTTGTAAAAGATTACAAAAAATTTACAAAAAAATTGTGAAAAATTGACTTTAAAGGGCAATAACTCTTTATGGGGTCAATTGACAAGTTTGGTCATTTGACTTATTTTTAGATCTTACTTTGCTGAACAATTTTGCTGTTTACAGTTTAACTTTATCTATTATAATATTCAAGATAATAACCAACAAGAGGCTGTCAGAGTGACAGCAAACTGGATTTCCTGCAGAGGTCGAACCCTGAACAGTTGAGCAAGTATGGACACTACATTCAAGCTTAAAACAGCTCTGAATTTGGATTGTGATTGAATATTTGACACAGCATAGGTTTGTGACACAAAATGAATGTGGTCAAAGAACTGAAAATTTGAAATTGGACATTTACCTATTATGGTCAAATATCCAAAATCTACATTGTTAGAATCAGCATATCAAAGAAAGTACCCCAAGAATTCAATTTTTGATGAAATCAAACAAAAGTTTAATTTAGGACCCTTTGGACCTCAATGTGGACCAATTTGATAAAGGAGCCCACAATCCAAATTCTCTAAATACATGGTTAGATTCAGCATTTCAAAAAACCCCATAAATACAATTTTTGTTGAAATCAAACAAAGTTTAATTTTGGACCCTGATTTGGACCAACTTAAAAACTGGGCCTAAAAATCCAATATTTAAATACAGGTTTAGATTCAGCATTTGAAAGAACCCTATATATATTTAATTTATGTTGAAATGAAAAAGTTTAATGTTATCCATATACTTATTAATTTTCTGTTCAAAGGGAAATAACTTAAACTGAATAAATGATAAACAAATAGTTCTCTAAAATTAGATATGATTTAACCACTAAAAAATAGTTCTCTAAAATTAACACTTTTGGAAAGGGATATAACTCAACAACGAGAAAAGCTAAAATCCTGAAAATTGAACTTGACCTTCATTTAGTCACAGGAAACAACATATCTAAATTTGAAAAAATTTCGACAAAAGCATTTTCATGTTAATGAACGGTGTTTGGCAGTCGCCTGCCTGCCCGCCTGCCTGCCCGCCCACCTGCCGTACATCACCCAAATCAATAACCGATTTTTCCTTTGAAAATCCGGTTAAAAACTGGAAAATTTCCTTAAAATTACCAATTCAGGGGCAGCAACCCAACAACGGGTTGTCTGATGCGTCTGAAAATTTCAGGGCAGATAGATCTTGACCTGATGAACTTTTTCCCACATGTCAGATTTGCTCTTAATGCTTTAGTTTCAGAGATATGAGCCAAAAACTGCATTTTACCGCCATGTTCTATTTTAAGCCATGGAGGCCATCTTGGTTGATGGGCGGGGTCATGGGATACATTTTTTAAACTAGATACCCTAAGGATAATTTAGGCCAAGTTTGGTTTTATTTGGCCCAGTAGTTTCAGAGAAGAAGATTATTGTAAAAGTTAACGAAGGACGACGGACCACGACCGCCAAGTGATGAGAAAAGCTCACTTGGCCCTTTTGGGCCAGATGAGCTAAAAATGGAACAAAATTATAAAGAACAGAAAACAACATAGTGCAAAAATATAGAGAATAGAAAAAAAATGGATCAAAATTATAAAGTCAAAGAATAGAAAATATTGGAATGTAAAAATATAAAGAATAGAGAATAATGGGCAAAAAAGATAAAGAACAGAGAAAAACAACCAAAAATTAAAAAATAAAGAAATGATCAAGGACCTCCTCACCCCATCCAGACCCTCATAACTGATGGGAAAACCCACTATATTAATATTGGAAGAATCAGCACTACTTGTACCACTGCTAACTCATAACAGGGTAAATTTGTACCATTGCAAACTTGTACCAACTTATTTAAATGCATTCAAATGGTGTTAAATTATGAATAAATATTTCAATTTCACTAAATAACCCATTTGTAGCTGATTGTTGCTTGGCTAATTGGATGAAGAAAACCATATCAGATTGGCTTTGTTGTTTCCCTTGAATCACTCTTATTGATAAATATTTGTTTTAATGTTAAATCATAACAAAGTAGTTAAATTGAATGTTAAATGAATGGTTTGTTCTGTGGTACAATGTAGTTTGAAAATAAATAACCTGACTTACAATGTATTGAAAATAAATAACTCGACAGGTCTTTTAAGCCATTTCATAAATGCTATTCTAAAGTATGAGATTGCACCAGATTCTTCCAAAATTCTTCTTTTTTTCATATTTTTTTCGGGAAAAACTTCCCAAATCTTTTAATAATATAAATATTAATGTATTTGAAATGTCTGAAAATGGGTTTCATTTAACTTGAGGTATATTGTCTCATGGACATTTACCTCACTTTTATTACAGGGTCGTAACTACATTGAGGCAAATGCCTCATGTTGGAAATTTCAAAAACAAAAGATTGTCTTCATATCAAATTGTTTTCACGGCGAGTGTCTTGCAAGAAGCAAGTTCTGTTCACCCTCTGACGTAGCCCCCGTTTTTCGGGATCCATGTTTCTCATTTATTTTTAGTGTTCAGTGTTATTTGTTTATTGTTTGTCGTTTTGTGTTTTATCTGTTCCCAGGATTGACTTTTGTTCATTGATTGCCCTTCTTTATTCTCTTAGTGTTGCATTCCATTTGTAATTTAGTTATTTTGTTTTAAACTTGAGTTTTATTTTATTTAATGGCACTTTTATCAAATTTTACAAACTACTTTAAATTGTATCCCGGTTAGGAACTACATCAAGTTGTAATTGAAATGTGTTATAAAAACTTACTTGACATAGTTATATCAATGATAATCAGCCCCCGCTTAACTTAATTTGAAAAAAAAACCATATAATTGACAGGTATAAAAGTTTTTCTGCAAGCCGAAACACCAAAAAAAAGAAAAAAAAGAAACAGCGGCCACATACTTAACTATGTGAATTACATTTTTTGCTTTATCCCTTTATCCTACATATTGGTCTTTTGACGTTGTCCCTAAAAACTAAAAGTCTTACACTGAATCTTTATATATTTTGCTTTGAGACCAAAATATTGTCGAAAAAATAATTAAAACAGAACTTGCGTTTCAGTTTAAGAAAGGGTCTGGGAAACAGGCAGAATGCACGATTTTGCGTCATTTTTCTATAGCTTCTTGGGGCCTTAAGCAGCCCCAGACACTTCGCCAAATATGTTTGGCATTACTTTTAAAAGAGGCTTGTTACAGCCCAACTTTTAAATACCTTGTACAGATGCAATATATGCAGTTTGGAATTCAGAAGATTCACTTCTAGAGGATGATGATTAATTCTGATTAAATGGTACATAATGACTTGACTATACATGTATTATTTATTAAAGATTAAACAAATGAATTTAAAAATTGTGTGTTTTCAAATATTATAAATATAATTGTGAAAATAAATAATCAGGTCCTAAGTGTTTTAATGAAAATGAAAAATCATACTTCAACAGTGCAGAAAATAATCAATCTGTCCTTTTAGTCCACAAAAATAAATATCCTGATTTTAATCATGCGCAACTTGCCAGAAGATTCATCATGTTGAATGTGGGCAGCATTTGGAAGAAGAAGAAGAACCGATCCAAAACAAATCCTTGTGCCCCCCCCCCCCCCCCCCCCCAGAATATACCATAAGAGGAAATAATTAGTACAAGAGAGACATGTTGTGTCAATTTTGACCTTAGGATCAGGATCAGGAATGCCTCTTAATTACCATCCTGGTTTTTTCATACCCCCCTTTTTTTCCATTTAACACAATATTGCTGTTCAATACATCCCTCTCTTGTGTTTGGGGTTCAAAACTCTGTACTTATGACTCGTATTACCTGCTTATAACTTCTGAGTTGAAAAGGTTAAGTTAAACATCTTCTTTAGATATGTATTTCATTTGTTTCAACGCTAGTTTTAGTAGTTAAAACTGTCAAATATAACTGTGAATATTCTCGAACATTCATCCGATTCAAAATGAAACAGTAATTTTTACCAGAAGACGTTATAGTTGAAGGTTTTCAAGTTGCACTTTCTTATATTTTTACTCGTCTACGTTTCCAATATATCTATATTATTATAATAATTATATCTAGTAAAAAGTTCTTCTACAGCCTGTCTTCGTATATAATCGGTATTAGTGCGTACCTTTTCTAGTCAGGTAAACCGGAAGTGGGGATGGATTCATCCAAGAAGGGAAAATCGAAGGATTCTCTAGGAATAGCCTATTCTGAAGAAATGACAGGAAACTTAGCTATTTTTTACCTTCAAAATTGACTTTCATAAATCAAAATATCTTTAATTCACATTTTTACATTCCCTAAAGATCTTTGTAACCACTTTATAAAACCGGAAGTACCACAAGTTTCACTTTCTCAAGTCTTTACCATCGAATAGCCTGTAGTTGATGCAAAGCTACAATCAGAAAGTAATGGATGATTTAGGTAAGACAAGCAGATGTATAAATGGTTCATTTTATTTGTGTGTAATTTTACTTTGGCTATTTAGATTGAAGACGCATAGGAACATCGATCATGAACATAAATTTTAAAGTTCATAAAGTTCTATATTGACTTATGACTATAACAAACACTGAAACAGGATGGGCACATTACATGAAATGGGATAATGTTCAAGTTTCATTTTATACATGTACTTACAAATATATTTTGAACAGGTTTGGAGAGATCCTCATAATTATAGGGTTAGTATTCTTCATAGACAAAGGTCTGTATGATCACAGAATAATAAAAGTCTAAATAATAAAGTTGACTACCACAGTAGAGCTTCACAAGAATCTCTACTTGATAGTCGACATTATTATTTACCGACTTTTATTAATAGAATTTACGATTCCTGTGGTGTGATGCTGCAATTGCATAGCCTTTTGAATATATTCATCAAGAACAAGAATGTGTAGTGTGTACATGTAAATTGCCAGCTTCAGTGACAAACGAGATAATCCTTCAATGTGTTGATCTTCACATTTAATTGATATGAGGCAGTTGTTACCTCTGAAAGAGGACATGTCTGTTAAAATGATTATTTTAATACAAAACATTTTTTTTTTTTATAACATTCATGTATACATAAAATTGAGAATGGAAATGGGGAATATGCTAAAGAGACAACAATTCCAACCCAACCGAAGAGCAGAAAACAGCCGATGTATATATTTGTAATATCAAAGTACAAATTTATGTATATATATTTGGTATATCAAAGTACAAATTTATGTATATATTTAAAGTTGTAAATGATCCAGATTTCTCGAAAAGTGGTGGTCCGAAGATTTTGGCCGCCAAAATATTGCAAAGGACCGACACAGTTTTGGTATTTTTCAAAAGATATAATAAGGCCACACAAAAAGTATGTGTGTTTACTGTACCCCTACCTACCCTAAAGTTTTTTCTACCATTCTTAATTAAGCACTGTTAAAGTCAAAATGTTGCTCCCATATTGACTCAATGTAAAAAAATATTAAATATAAAAAAAATTCCCTACCTACCTAGCCTATTTTTTTTTTGGCATGTAAAAGTAAACACACATACTTTTTTGTTTGGACTAAGGAGGACCTGCAGATTTTCTTCAAGGACCACCTCGAATAAACAGATATCAAGAACTCTGATGATCATCATCATGAATATAACAAAGAATGTACATGTATATATTATGGTTTTAAAAAATGAATTTGAAAAGGCTGGGCATATTGTATTTTTTTATTGAATATTAACCTCATACACATAGTTTTCCAAAAGGGTGCATCAATTAACAGTCAGGATCATAATATAATGACATGCTTAAACAAGTTACATTTTAGCTCACCTGCCTGAAAGGGCCAAGTGAGCTTTTCTCATTTAATACTTGGCCTCCGTTGTCGTCGTTAACTTTTACAAAAATCTTCTCCACTGAAACTACAGGGCCAAATTCAACCAAACTTGGCCACAATCATCATTGGGGTATCTTGTTTAAAAAATGTGTCCGATGACCCCCGCCTACCAACCAAGATGGCTGACATGGCTAAAATTAGAACATAGGGGTAAAATGCAAGTTTTGTCTATTATTTTGAAAACTGTTATAAATAGAGAAAGTTTGACAGGACAAAAAATTTCAGAATGTTGAATCTGACAGGACAAAAATGTTCAGAATGTTGAGCTCTACCAATTGTCCATATACGTCAAAACTGTCAGACAACTTCTTACAGGAGTTATTGCCCTTAAATAACAAATTTTACTTTTTTTTCATTTATCCCTATTATCATGATTATTTTGAAAACTACATGTATGATAGATAGGGAGAAACTTTAAATTGCAAAAATGATCAGCAGAACAACTTCTACAAATAAGTCTGCAAAGTTGAAATGGTCAGTCAATTCCTTATTAGAGTTATTGCCCTTTGATGACTCGTTTTCCCATTTATTTTGTTTTTGCCTTATATTTTAAAAATTATAATAGATAGATAGAAATTTAAATAAGCAAAAATTATCAGCAAGACAAGATCTAAAATTGAGACAATTATAAGAGGTAATTGTCCAACATCTCTTTATTGGAGTTATTGCCCTTTAATGATGATTTTTACCATTTTTTTTTTTCGTTTTGCCTTATATGATAAAAATTATAGTAGATAAATAGACACTTTAAATTACAAAAATGATCAGCTAGGCAAGATCCTCTTAACAAGTCGAATTTTGCCGATATTGTTAGTAGACTGTCACTCTTTATAGGATTGATTGCCCTTAAATGAGGAATTTTTTACCCTCTTTTGTGTTTTGAGCTAAAACTAAAGAAGATAGGGAGTAACTAAACAGACTAAATGATCAGTAATACAAGATCAACAAATCAGAGCTTTTTTTCATGAATTCTCTTCTCTTCTATGTTGGAGAGTGTCCTTTGTTAAATATGCACATAGATCAAGGTCAGCAACACAGGCTCTTTAGAGCCTCTAGTTTAATTACATTGTATCTATTAACGTGAAAATATAAGTAATAATACTTAGTGCAGCTGTTTTAAATTAAGATAAGAAAACCCATATACATAAAATTGAGAATGGAAATGGGGAATATGTCAAAGGGAGAACAACCCGACCAAAGAGCACACAACAGCCGAAAGGCCACCAATGGGTCCTTCAACGCAGCGAGAAAATCCATTTATATAAACTACAAGAAATGTACATGCAATTTTTATTTATTTTTGGCACAAAATAAAGAATTAAAATTTAGTAGTTAAAAGGACACTTTAAAAATAATGACTTCATGACAGAAATGTATTATCTAACATGTCTAACTAATTTGTTTAATCCTTTCTTTGGTTGGCCGAATCTAACGGATTACATATATTTAGATTTTGGATTTTGTGCCCATTTTTTTTTAAATGGTCCAAATTGGGTTCCAGGTGTAATACCACCAAATCATAGTACGTCACATATGGTTGCATACGAAAAAGGGTCGAAAAAAAATATTCCCTTGAATTTGACAGTTGTAGGAAATTCTGGGTCATAAACATGTATCTTGGGTGTTTGAAAGCACCATTATTTTTTTATTTGGTGTTTCTATAAAATATTTTGGAAACTTGAGGTTACATGGTTACTCACTAAAGCTTGTACACAGATAGAAAAGAGGTGAACATTTGATTGGTTAACTTCCAGTGATGGTTATTTTCTTATATGCAATGAAATGTTATGTGAAATTTTGTTTATAGTACTGGACAGGATAAAACTTTTACTCATGCCAAGTATTTTTTTATTTGAAACAAAGATAAATTCTGCACCATTTTTTGAAAAGTGCAAATTTAACAAAGACTAATAGGGGAAAACCAATGGTGGTATTACACCAACATAATAAATCTTTGTTTGATTTCAACAAAATTTAATATTGGAAGTTCTTTGATGGGCTGAATCTAACCCATTATTTAGTTCCGGATTTTGGGCCCCTGTTTCAAATGGGTCCACATTGAGGTCCAAAGGGTCCAAAATTAAACTTTGTTTCATTTCATCAAAAATTGAATTCTTGGTGTTCTTTAATATGCTGAATCTAACCTTGTATTTAGATTTTGAATATTGAATGTAAATGTCATGGCCAATTTCAAAATTTTTAGTTCTATGACCGCATTCATTCTGAATTTCTGTCAATACTGTGTTAGAAACCTATGCAGCTGTATCAAATATTTGATCACAATCCATATTCAGAGCTGTATCAAGCTTGAACGTTGTGTCCATACTTGCCCACCTGTTCAGGGTTCGACCCACGTTGGTTGTATCAAGCTGTGCTGTTTTATCAAATATTCAACTCCTCTCCTTTTTATACGACCGCAAAAAAATTTTGTGGTCGTATATTGGTATCACGTCCTCCTCGTCGTCCGTAGACAGTTGGTTTCCGGACAATAACTTTTGTATGAGTAAATAGAAATCTATGAAATTTAAACACAAGGTTTATAACCACAAAAGGAAGGTTGGGATTGATTTTGGGGTATATGGTCCTAACAGATTAGGAATTAGGGGGGCCAAAAAAGCCATTTTTCCTTGTTTCCAGACAACAACTTGTGTTTAAGTGTCTGGATCTCTCAAAATTATACCACAAGTTTCCATACCACTAAGGGATGGTTAGGATTGGCTTTGGGGGTTTATGGCTCAAAACCGTTTAGGAATTAGGGGCCAATAAGGGTTTCCTGGTTAATGGACAATTTAAAAGCAGTGTAAGGGAGGTAATCAAAAAACAAAATTGTACAATGTTGGATTACCTTCCTTACACTGCTTTTAAATTATCTTAAGACTTTTATGATGTATTTAAATGGGTAATTATGGTTGCAAACTCCATTGGAAATTTGAATTGAGATTATGACCATATCTTGAGGGAAAGAATTTTTTGGGAGAAAAGGGGGGGGCAATTTTTTCTCATTTCAGATTTTAAAAATTTCTTCATATATTTTTTTTTTTTGGGGGGGGGGTCAATACACAACAGCATAGTGTATTGCACAAAGGCGGTTAATTTTTATACGACCGCAAACAAATTTTTGTGGTCGTATATATTGGTATGACGTTGGCGTCGTCGTCGTCCGAAGACACATTAGTTTTCCCACTCTAACTTAGTTTAAGTGAATGGATCTCTATGAAATTTT